GAGAAGCTGGACTATATGAAGAAGAACCAGGCATCAGGATTGGAGGAAGACTCATTAACAACCTGCGATATACAGATGATACAACCTTGCTTACTGAAAGTGAGGAGGACTTGAAGCCCTTACTGATGAAGATTCAAAGACTACAGCTTTCAGTATGGATTACACCTCAACATAAAGAAAACAAAAATCCTCACAACTGGACCAAAAAGCCACATCATGATAAATGAAGAAAATATTGAAGTTGTCAAGAATTTCATTTTACTTGGATCCACAGATCAACACCCATGGAAGCAGCAGTCAAGAAATCAAATGACATATTGCATTGGGCAAACCTGCTGCAAAGACCTCTGTCATGGATTGAATTGTGTCCCCCAAAAATATGTGTATCAATTTGGGTAGACCATGATTCCCAGTATACTGAGATTGTCCACCACTTTGTCATCTGATATGATTTTCCTATGTGTTGTAAATCCTATCTCTATGATGTTAATGAGATGGGATTAGTGGCAGTTATGTTAATGAGATGGGACTCAATCTACAAGTTAGATTGTGTCTTAAATCAACCTCTTTTGACATGTAAAAGAGAGAAGTGAGCAGAGAGATATGGGGACCTCATGCCACAAAGAAACCAGAGCCAGGAGAATAGCAAGTCCTTTGGACCCGGAATCCCTGCACTGAGAAACTCCTAGACCAGGGGAAGATTGATGGCAAGGACTTTCACCCAGAGCCCATGTGAGAGAAAACCTTCCCCTGGAGCTGGCACCTTAGATTAGGACTTCTAACCTCTTAGACTGTGAGGGAATAAATTTTTCTTTGTTAAAGCCATCCACTTGTGATATTTCTGTAATACCCGCACTAGATAACTAAGACAACCTCTAAAGTGTTAAAAAGCAGTCACTTTGAGGACTAAGGTGTGCCTGACCCAAACCATGGTATTTTCAATTGCCTCATATGTATGTTTCTCTTGTATCCTGAAACTTTGCTGAAATCTTCTATTAGTTCCAGTAGTTTTCTTATGGATTCTTTGGGGTTTTCAGTGTATAAGATCATATCATCTGCAAATAGAGATGCTTTGACTTCTTCCCTACCAATTTGGATGCCCTTTATTTCTTTTTCTAGCCCAATTGCTCTGGCTAGGAGCTCCAGCACAATGTT